GGAAGACCTGTACGGACTATTCGTGAATTCCTTGTCAAATGGAAGAATCTTCCTACAGAGAAAACCAGCTGGGAACGCGCCGAAGATATGAACTCCGCCGCCACCCACATTGCAAGGTTTGAAAGTAGTCGGTTGACAGGGACGTCAACCAATTAGGTGGGGGAGGATGTCACGGTCATGCTCGTCCAAGGCGTGTTGCCCATGGCCGCATGCCCATGGCAAGCGAAACCCTTGTCATGTCTTTTCATTCTAGTGTTTTTACTTTTGTAGTTCTAGGGCGTATGACGTCTCAAAAGTATCATGTATAGGCCTGCCAGACATGAAATGCCTCATATTGTATTATAGGGGGATATGACTAGTTGTCAACTTCTCCCTACCCAAGGTTATATAAGCTAAGCCGTTGTTATCTCTCTTTTGTTTGCTTATATAACGTCTCTTTCAAAAATCTCTCTTTCTAAAATCTCTCTCTACCCTCGTTTTCTAAAACCTTCTTTTAAAACCGAGGCTAGAGGCTCGATCATACGTCGCTTGGCCGTAGGCGACACAAGAACAAATTGGCTTAGCTCACTTGTCGTTGGAAAGTGAGTGCCGCACAATCGCTAGTCCGCTCCTTCAAATGTGCGATTGTGTCACTTTGCACCCTCCTAGACTTTTTGTAGTCGAGCAAGTTGTCCATAGCGACATCTGAAAGTTAGACGACCCCTAAGTGTCATGCGAGGCATGACCATCATCATCACCATAGTATATGCGTCTGTACTCATCATCATAAATGGGGAAGTATCCTGATGTATATGAACACATAAAATGCATGAGGTCACTATACACCATTCATACATTACTTGGTTGAATTAGGTCGAAGCTATTACAATTCCTTGATGCTACCTTAACATTGCTCTCTGAAATTTAATTCTGCCTAAAGAGTCAAACAATTATAAGTTAGAATTCTAAATTGGTTCACTTACATAAAATAATTTGAACTTACTCCTAATAATTTAAACTCCTAGTAATTTAAATGGACTAAGATTAATTTTGCAAAAAATAATTTAAACTTACTCCTAATAATATAAACTAATTATGCATAAATAACTTACCCTTTAATTAGTTAAAAGGTAGTTATACTAACCTTAAAAGCTTCCAAAAAATTGAAACTAACAGGAAAGGGTCTGAGCACCAAACCCAAGCTGTACTAGCCAAAATGTTGGCCTTGAGCCGTCAAAAAGTGTACTCTATAGGACTGGCTCAAACCGTTCAAGTGGGATGCTCAAATGAAGTGAGGGACTTCCGTTCTCGAAGCTAACCTCTTCTGAACTTTAAACAATGTGGGACAATCCATTTTCCTCTTCTTTTTTTTCCCTAATATTTTGGGTTATTCCAAGGCAAGTACTACACATCAAATTTTTCTTGACTTAGCTACACCTATGATGGTTTTAAATGATAGGTCTCCTAATCATAATTGCATGTGATTACATTCTTTGACCTCAATCCTTGGATCACTTACCGAGTATTTCTTAAAATATTTAAGTCATGTAGTACTTTTATATTTAAAATAAAGGCAAGACACTCGTATACAATTGACGACAAACATTACAATTAAAGACCATAGAACTCACATAGGATAGTTGCACTAAACTTGGTAGATTTTAGATTAGTAATAAGACATTGTTACTTTTATATTTAACTAGGTTTATATTTGCATTGTTTTAAGATTTTCTCTTAAACAGGTAAGTCTATGACATTGTTTATAAAAAGTTATATATGAATGTTTTCGCATTAGAAGTTACATATTGTACATGATAACGAGTCTAGCTCCCTTTGAAATTAGAGTCATTACACCTCACTTTACTTTGCTACTACAATATCTAAAACGTCTTAACATAACCGATTAATTTTGGATACGTGTAAAACCTAAAGAGTAAGAATTAATGTGCCTTTGACTGAAAATTAAGAAAATATATTTTTGTGATGTCGTTTTGTGTTCCTTCAACCCATTCATACGTATTGATTGGAACCACATCAATATAAATTAGTAGTTTTTATAGAGAATCTTTTTTGCAAAACTAGTCCCTACATTATATTGCTAAAAATAAATAAATAATTATATAAATCCTTTAAAAATATATTGTGTACCTTAATTTGGTCTTCTTTATATTCTACTTAACATTAATTAAATATTTAATGGCATGATTTTCAAAATATAATATAATTTTTTAAAGAATTTTGACCAATTTTCAATTTATTTCTAAGATATTTAAAAATTAGAGACACACTTATTGAAGTAGGAGTTTAGGAATATGGTAATGACTTGTTTATTTATCTGTCACACATACATAAATAAATAATGAAGAAAAAGAAGATAGAGCATCATATTATTGGCAATAAAATAATATTGATAGAAATACCATCCACCTACCAATGAAATATTATATATAAATAAACAAACATGGCATGGTATGGTATGATATGATGCATGTGCAAATGCATGGTGCATATATATATATATATGAGAGGAGGAATAATATATAAATTAAAGACGAAAAAGGACAGACATACTCATTCTCAAATTATAGGTTAGATCCGCATAAATAGGCTATTCGCATTCTCATGCAAATTTTAAATTATATGTATTAAAATTTAATATAATGTTTAAATTTTAAAAAAATAATAATAATAAAGAAAAAGAACAGACAAAGGCACTGTTGAGCGTTGACCAAACAGGATAAGGCCACGGTGGTGAGTGAATCTTTCTGACTATACTTTGGCTCTCTGTTTTGTTTTTATTTTTATTTTTTCATTTTTCCAATGGGATTTTGATGTTCAACATGTGGGAAGCTGATCATGGAACCTCTATTTCTTCTTATTTTTTAGGATGTAAGAATTTAAATTTACATTATTTAAGAATATTTAGGGAATCTCGTGGCTTTCTGCTTTTGAAATTCTTAGTCTAGGGACCATATATTGAAGATTGTTGTTCGAGAGGAGAATTGTATTAAGAAGAAGATCACGAGTATATAAATAAATGTCACAACTTCTATCCGTACGAGACATATCAAACATTTTGAGAGTTTTGTGTGAAAGTTATCTAACTGTGATGTCCCACGTTGGTTGAAAAGGAGAACAAACCACCATTTATAAGGGTGTGGAAGCTTTCCCTTAACAGACGCGTTTTAAAGCCTTGAGCAGTAACGTTGATGTCAACTCCTAATAAACATTGTTTCTACGGATTAACGGGACATTTGAATACATAGAATTAAAATAATAATAAGATAAGAAAATATCCAAGTTGCATATGCATGGGCAGAAGTAAATTAAATACCCAACTAGAATCTGCCTAAAAATGGGGTGCAAAGGCTCATGACATCCGTGATTTAAAGCCAAGAAAATGCCTCTATCAAGCTAGCTAAGATACACATGAAAGGGAGCAAAATCAAGGCCTCATCCCTTCCAACCGTATGAAGCAATGCACGTGGAAGGAATGAAAACACCAAACCCAACTCTTCTTTCCCATTCTCTTTTTCATATCGACCATTCTAAATCACACGCTGTATCGTACTTTCTTTTTGTTCGTTGTGCATCATCAAGTAAAAAGAAAAAGAAAAATTCAAACCCTGCACATATCAATCTTAATAATAGTTCCTGATGAATAAGAAAAGTCTAATAGAGCTCTAATATGAATTTTCACTATGACTATACATTCGAGACTCACAACTTCAATTGATATGACTAAATTATGATAAAGGTATGGATCGGATATGAACCACTCGATCATTCTCTCTCTTTCTAGAGTGATAAAGTCCGTGATTCTTTTCTCATCCACACATGCTAGACGATGTGTATATATATAAAAATGTAATTAGGATTATATAATAGTTATAAGAAATATAATGAATATGATCCACCCATTTATATATTATTTTTTTATGGGAATTATTAATAAAATAGAATCAATAGAAATATGAAAGACATCTTTTGTGGACGCCAAAATTCTTTTCATAAAATTATTACTTCTAGTTTTGTCCAAATCTCTCACATTTTCCCAACTATATAATAAAATGCATAAACTTAAGGGCCCTCTTTTTTTTCTCTCTCTCATCTTTAATTTTTTTTTTTTTTTTAAGATTAAATGTTTTAATCGATTAAATTACATTTTTAGGTGTTCTTTCAACATTAATTCTTTTTTTTATTATTTATTTATAATGATTTTAAATATCCAGTGAAAATAGAGAAAAATGTAACTAAATATCAAAATAAAATTGACACGAAAAAAATTATTTAAAATGGATTAAGTGTTGATTTATAAATTTAAATAATTTTTTTATATCTATTAGTTTTTAAAAATATTCAATGATATTCACACAATATTGAGACTAAAAACGTTCGTGAGTTGGATTCGTCGAGTTGAGACATTTTTTTCGACTCAACCTATTGTTCAAGTGTGTATATATAATTGTATCGTATGAATATATATATATATATATATATATATATATATATTTTAAAAAAAATAACAATAAATTTATGTTGGCTTAGGTGAATTGAGCTCCCATTTATAAAATTTTTATTTATTTGAATTTACGTAATGTGTATATTTTTATTTATTGTGTTATGCGACACGAGAGCCTTCATTTAACTGCCCTAAGTTGAAAACAAAATAATTGTAATAATTTATGGGTTTATTTCTTTAAATTAATGTAATTGATTTACTATAAATTTATAAAAAGTGTAATAATTTATTTTGTAATATATTTCTAAATTATAAGGGGGTATGGGAAAACTTGCTTTTATTTTAATTTACATATTTGGATTCATTCCAAACCGACAAGAGTTATATTTTAATAATGTTATGTAGACATGGGATGTGATGGGATGCATGGGATGTGAGATGTATGATGCACATGATTATTATGCCCTAATTTAAGCAAGCTGAGTGTCACACATGATGAGATGCATAGTTCATGAAGCTTCATTTGAAGTTTCCCAACACATCATATCTCTACCACACAGACACGAGTCTTCTGTCTTTCTCTCTCCTCTCTCAAGCCTTTTGCCTCTTTCCCTTTATAGCCACCCTTTATGCCATCATTCTTCCTGCGTTGTAATCTCTCTGTTACACCCAAACCCTTTCTCTCTTGCTTCACAGATCTGTGTCCTTTAATAACTATGGAAGGGGCAAGCGACGGTGCAGCAGCAGCAGCAGCAGCAGCAGCAGCAGCAGCAGCAGCAGCAGCAGCAGCAGCATGTTCAAACAAGAGTAGAAGTGATAGTAACAAGTCCCAAAGCGAATTGGGAAATGAAGGCAGCTCAAGCAACAGCACAATTGAAGAGAACGATGAGCAGCAAAAGAAGCCCACCGTGAGGCCCTATGTCAGATCCAAACTCCCACGACTCCGCTGGACCCCCGATCTCCACTTCCGCTTCCTTCATGCCGTCCAATCACTCGGCGGACAACAAAGTAATAATCAACTTCATCCAATTTACTCCCAATTCATCATCCACTTCTTCATCATCCCATCATTTCACAATGTATTTGGTGTCTAATATCATTTTCTAATTTTTAATTCACTCGTCATTTAACAAGTTCTTGATTAGGATGAGCTGAATTCAAATCCATTTCTAAATTTAAACATTTTATTTTTAGATCTAAATTTCCATATTTTGTTCATGATTTTTATTGCATAGATGCTACACCCAAGTTGGTTCTTCAATTAATGAACATCAAAGGACTAAGCATCGCCCATGTCAAGAGCCATCTCCAGGTTGCTTTACTCACTGACTAATCTCTCTTTCTTTCTTCAATCATTGCATAAATTCATCTCATTCTTTTCTTCAGATGTATCGAAGCAAGAAGACCAATGAAATGACAACAGTGGCAGATCAAAGGGTTCTAATGTCTCAAACTAGTGATCACAACATATTCACTGTCAGCCAAATCCCCATGTTCCAACGCCATAACCAAACCTATCCTTCTAATATTTTCCGGTAACAACCTCTCTTAATTCTTTACAATCATTTTTTCTTTTTTTTTTTCCAAAATTCATCTCGAACTCGATCGTCATCATGTTAGATTCGGTAGCCATTCATGGAGTGCTCATGAGAACAAAACAACACAAACCCTTTACACCGGGAAGCCCTCAGCATTGAGTGAAGCGAGATCGAGGGAATTCAGCACGAGCACGGTCGGTGAACGGAACACGAGAATGAGGAAAGGGGAAGAAGAAATAGACTTGAGTTTATCGCTAAAGATTGCAGCAAGAGAGGAGATGAAGATTGAGAAGAGAAGGAGGATAGAACAAGAAGCTTTAGAAGATAGAACTGATTTGTCTCTATCTTTGTGCTCATTTCATTCAAAATCTCCTTAGCAAAAGAAGAGGAGGCTAAAGAGAGAGTAAGTACTCTGGATCTGACTATATGAATTCAACACATCAGATTCTAAGTGAGATGTGAAGTACTTATTTCCCGATTTGTACCTAATTTGTCTAAGATAGAAACAATAAATGTTCGTAATGGTATGATATTGTCCCATTTTATGCAGAAACTTTCATTGTCTTGCTGCTCATTCTCTCAAAAATATCATACCAACAAAAATAATGTCATTTAGTTATTGTAATAACTCAAACCCACAATTAGTAGATATTATCCACTTTGTCCCGTTACATATTACAGTCAATTTCACAATTTTAAAACACATCTGTTAGTGAGAAGTTTCTGCATTCTTATAAACGGTGTCTCGTTCTTCTCTCCAATCGATATGTGATCTTACCGTTATATACTCACGATCTTGAAGAGTTGCTAAACGACTCAAAATCCCTCCCGATCACAAGAACATATTTTTAAAAACGATATATCTTGTAAATTTAAGAGATTTATTTATTTATTAATTTCCTAGAAACTAGATGAGTAAATAAAAATTAATGTAAAAGTTCATAAAATGGGTTTTAGAAAATAAATTATAAAAAGACTTATTAAGTAATAATTCTCTTATTTATGCATAGATGTTCATATTCTCATATTCCAATACATGCACATACTTATCTGTTGTTGATCAGACAAAATATTAGCATTAATTAAACAAATAAATTACATAAAATTATGTGTTTAAAGTTTTCTAATCATGAATTGATTAAACTATTCCATGTGTGTCTCTAGGATGCATGAAGAGCTAATTATTCAATTAAATTAATCACTCCCATGGTACAATTTGAATTTATATTATATGATTGTTTTAGTCTTCATGTGCTTAATGTCTTTATTATTTACTTATTTATTTTTAACTATGGTAATATTAGAAGTGATTTTTCTTTTATTTGTTGTTGAAATACATTTAATAACTAGAATTTTCAAAATAATTAGCTTTAAAACATAAAATCTTCAAAGTTCCATTTAATAAATTCGCTAAACACATAATATTGTATAATAAAGTTCCTAAATCTATTAAAAAAAAAATTAATTTAGATGAAATACATTATATATATTTGAAGGACTAAAAAGGTGAGAAAGAAGTACAAAATTTAAAGTAAATTTTTTGAGTAATTCCGATGTTATGGTTTCTATGTTAGTAACTTGAAATGTTACTATCCTTGTCAAGAAGACGTTAGACATAAGGAGACAGCATGACCTCCTGCCATGATGAAAAATTTCACCGTGAAGGAAGTAGAAAAGACTCTAGCTAAGAAGACGTAAAGAGTCGATGAACAGCCATGGTCGTACATGTTTAATACGAAATATTGAAAATTTAAAGAAAAAAAATATATATATATATATATATATATATATAAAATAATTTAAATTGATGAAATGCAAAACAATTTATTCCAACCTAAGACTAGAAATTTAAATATGAATCTACCCTATGCACGTGTCACAGTCTCTACTTGCGATGTCGCCGTCATTCGTACATGTGTGCCTTGGCTTTGCCTGAAAAATGATGTGGCACACAGTCTGAGTATTTTGAAGAATACTCAGTAAGTGACCCCACTGTAGGGAGCCATGCAAATGGAAATGCAAACACATGCAATCATACTCTTGTGACTTATCTTTATCTCATCTAGGGGTGGCCTCCAGTCTCGGACTACTATGGATGTGTAGTACTTACCTACACATGACACACACGTGCGAGTGTGAACCCACGGGGACTCACACACCCCTTGGACTCTCTCTGGTCAACGGAACCCTTGGTGTCATACTCCCCATGAACACCCTCATCATCATACTGTACGCATCTACATTCATCATCTCAAGGGGAAGTATCTCTATGCTTATGAACATACAACATATATGAGGTCCCTCTATCATCTCTTCTGACATAACCTTTTAGTCTCATCTCTTTGTTACATTAAGTAACACATACTTGTGGATATTTATATTAATATCATTTTCATGCTCTTAGGGTTGTGTCCTATATCGGCCTATTGATATGATGCAATATGACACTCATCATCATATAGCATGCTTAATATGGAAAACATCAACATATTAAAATAAACGTCATACAATCATCATACTCATCATATCACCATAAACTACATCAAGCATATCAAGTATGTCATAAATCAAAATATACATATTGTGCACATCATCATGCATTATAACTCAAACATCATCATATACTAGTATACAACATCATTAATTTCTAGTCTATTCTATGATAAGGCCACTCACTTGGTTGACTTTAGTCAAAGTTCTATCTAGCTTCAAATTTAGTTGTTTTTATCTTCGAATTAGTTCTCACTTAAGTCTTCACCTATTTTGGATATAAACTTAATTGACTCAATAAAAAACCGAATTCAATATTTTCATTGTTTCTATATTGTGTTTGGTAATAAAACTTAAAATAAAAAAAAGGAATAAAATCAAGATAAAAGAAAAGGTAAGATTTGACTAACCTACTTTCACAAATTCTTCCCTACTACGTCCTCGTGTAAATTTGCATAAAACCACTTTTGTTTTTTAGGAGGGAATTATTGATACTAAATGAGAGTGGTATTTTAGGGGAGGAGTGAAGAGATTAAAAGAGAGGTGGTAGTTTACTTTTTTTTTTTTTCTTCATTTTATAATTATTATTTTATTTTTGCTGGTGTTACATCATATACCTCTAAAAAAAACTTACGTTGAGAGTGCTTTAATCTCAGAATTACTTGAGTCCTTGTCTATCTATAGAGTTCTGTAGTCTAGAACGTACATCAAGTAAGTCAAGTATTTGCGAAGTATGGATATGTGACATAGTTTGAGTACCTACGCTCAGGCTTCATGTGTTCCCTGTGACGTAGTCTGTGTCATAGGAACATGTTACACTACTCATCAGGAAGTTTTTGGGATACCTCGAGTTCTCGTTCTAAGAGTTTTTCTCTTTAAGTTTTGAAGCACAATTAAGCAAAAATTCTTAATAAGTACACCCTAATCCATGAGTCATAAAACATTTCTTTACATGCATAAGTTTTTCATAAGCATCTTGTCACTTGGTATTCATAAAAACCTTGATTTCTTATAAAGTGTCTTAAGGGTAGTCACATACTTTTCCTCTTGGTTCATATCTTAAAGTTTTCATAGTATTTTAAATCTTTTAAGGTCTTGAAAATATCTTAGAATTCTCATTGGGGTATTTTGGTCATTTACCATCCCAAATTTTGGTTTAATTCCTCGACATATTCCAATGGTATTGTAACTTTGTATAATCCTTTCAAACCATGACATAAGGCTCCTCATCAATTTTCATACTATTTAGATATCACTTTGGTCACAAGTCAATGGGACATAATTATAGGGGCATTTTAGTCATTTTACACCTACCCTTGGTTTAGGCACTCCGTTTGGCCATCTGTTTGTTGGTGGAAAGCGGTAATAAAGTTGAGGCAAGTACCTAGCACTTTTTGAAGTCTAAGCTAAAATGTTGATGTAAAGTTTGGGTCTTGATCTGACACTATCGACACTGGGACTTCATGTAGCCTTACTATCTCTTTCACATACAATTGAACCCAGTTTTCAATTGTATATGTTGTTTTTCCTGGTAAGGACGTGTGCCGACTTGGTCAACCTGTTGAAAATTACCCAAATCACTATATAGCCCTTCAACGTTCTGGGTAGTCCTACTATGAAGTTCATAGTTATATTTTCCCACTTCCACTCCGGTATGCTTAAAGGTTGTAACATCCCTGTCGTCTTTTTTCTAGGAGTTTTTACTTGTTGACACACTAAGCACTTGCTCAAAAACTCAGCCACGTCTCTCTTTATGCTTCTCCACCAGAAGTGTTGGTTTAAATCTTGGTACATCTTAGTACCTCCTAGGTGCATGACAAATGGCAAGTTGTGTGCCTCTGTTAATATCTCTTTTCTTAACTCCCCTATTGCCCGAACACAAAGGCATCCCTAACACACTAGTTATTCATCTGAGGATTTTGAAAATCCGTCTAGTGGATTCTTGGCTAGTTGGCTTAGGATTTCTGTAGGTTAGGGTCCTTTCATTGGGAGTAAATAATTCTCTGCCTAAGCGTAAGTTGTACTGTGAGTTGAGTCGAGCCAGCTGTACTACGACTATATACACATAATAAAAGCTATGTAATTATTATTATTAATCACGTTAACTGTTTTCCTAAGTGTATCCACACTTTATTGTTGAACCAACAATACCATTTCTGTTTGGGCCATTTAAAATATAGAAAATCCAAAATGGGCCTCGTACTTGTATTGGGCCCAAATTACAGGCTTGTTATTGGGCCCCATCTAAGCTCAAGTTTAGGATTGCTTTGCAAATATAGTTTTATTGTCTCTATTTCCCCCCAGAAAAAGTGCCATCTTTTCAAAAGTATTTCAAAATGCTTAATGGTTTAAAACCCTTAATTTCAAACATTATTCTATTTTCCTTTTTTTAATACAAAAAAAAGTCTCAATATTAAAAAAAAAAAAAAAAAACTCATTTAATAATTATGAACATAGTTCAACGGCCATAAACATTTATAGTTTTGAAAAGATGGTTCGAGAAATATTATCTCGAAGAATAATGAAACGTGAATAGTTAAGTATTTATGGGAATTAGGGTTTTCGAAAAGAGAGGAAAATGATTTATTTATTTTTTTTTAATTTTTTTAAATATAATGAATAAGGTTTTTGGTGTGGTGTATTTAGGAAAGTTCACATCAGAAACACTATTTGATTGAGGGACCCAATATATGAATGATTCAATCAATTGGCTAATCCAAATTTGTACTAACTTTCTTCTTCTTCTTCTGTCTCTCACTACTGTACACTCTTCATACCCACATTATCATTTACTTTCCTAAATATTTATTTTAAAGAAAATGTCTTTGAACGTCAACTTAAGTATAACTCAATTAGTTCAAGTGAAATTTTGAGTCATATACGTGACACGATAGTCTTATTTGTGTTGATAGGGTAGATATTGGAGTGGAGATAGAAAGGGAATGAGTGTGGGTGTTGATAAAACCCTAAGGAAGTTGAATTAACCAAAATGAATGACCAATCTATGTCTCTCTCTCTCTCTCTGACTGGTTTTGGAGTAGAGAGTAGAGTGGGGGGCAGGTGAGGTAAGGTAAGTAAGTAAGTAAAAAGATGAAAGGCAGTAATATTTAGTAGAAGAAAGTAAATAAGAATAATTAG